CTAAAGTCTCACTAAAGTTTCACTAAAGTTTCACCAAAGTCTAACAAGTCTCACCAAAGTTTTACAAAAGTCTCATTAAATTGTCACTAAAGTTTTATTAAAGTCTCACTAAAGTTTCACTAAAGTTTCACTAAAGTCTCATTAAATTGTCACTAAAGTTTTACTAAAGTTTCACTAAAATCTCATTAAATTGTCACTAAAGTTTTATTAAAGTCTCACTAAAGTTTCACTAAAGTCTCATTAAATTGTCACTAAAGTTTCACTAAAGTTTCACTAAAGTCTCATTAAATTGTCACTAAAGTTTTACTAAAGTTTCACTAAAGTTTTACTAAAGTTTCACTAAAGTTTCACTAAAGTCTCATTAAATTGTCACTAAAGTTTCACTAAAGTTTCACTAAAGTCTCACACAAGTCTCACTAAAATCTAACTAAAGTCTCACTAAACCCTCACTAAAGTTTCCGCTCCGCACTCAAATCCCACTTCTTGGCACCTCCCAGCTCACCCCATGACCCCCACCCCCCCCAATGAATCTCCGCCTCGTGCCACCGTTCTTTCTCTTTCTTCATATTCTCATTGCATGGCTGTCACTAGTTCCCCTTCATTAAACCCCCACTCATTCACCAACCTGTTCCTCATCGTTCACTGCCATCAATTCACTCTCGCCGAATCCACGAACCGCAGATTATCCCCTCCCCCCCCGCCCCCCCCTCCCCGCCGCCCCCCTCCCCACCGCCCCCCCCTCCCCACCGCCCCCCCCCTCCCCACCGCCCCCCCCCCCCCCACCACCCCCCACCGCCCCCCCCCGCTGCCCCCCCACCGCCCCCCCCACAATTTGCTTAATCTCTCGTCTGATTCATTCACCTCCACTCCACACTTTTCGATTTTAAAGCTTTCGCGACTGCAGGGATTCATATTCTTGGTTCTTTCGCTAAAGTCACCACGTACAAGGGAAGTAATAGGACACTCACACGTCGCACCGTTGTTACGTCTGTGTGAAAGCGCGCATCGCACGCGGCACGACACAACGTCGCTTCAAGATGAGAGGAGCTCAATATTATATTCTTGGTTCTGTCGGTAAAGTCACGTAGAAGGGAGATAATAGAATATTAATATAAAACAATATATTGTTTTATATTTATATAATTTTATTTATATTTATAAAACAATATATTGTTTTATATTTATATTATTTTATTTATATTTATAAAACAATATATTTTATTATTTCCCTTCTACGTGACTTTACCGAAAGAGCCAAGAATATGAATTCCTGCAGTCACGAAAGCTTTACATCAAAATTTGAGCTCAATATTCTTGCGTTTCATGCCGACCGACCGTGATTGACCGCCGCCACCACCGCCGCCACCACCACCGCCACCACCACCACCGCCATCACCACCACTGCCGCCACCACCTCCACCACCACAACCACCACCGCCACCAACGCCGCCACCACTGCCGCCACCACCACCACCACCAACGCCACCACCACCACTACCACCACCACCACCGCCGCCATCACCGCCGCCACCACCACCGCCACCACCACCACCACCATCACCACCACTGCCGCCACCACCTCCACCACCACAACCACCACCGCCACCAACGCCGCCACCACTGCCGCCACCACCACCACCACCACCGCCACCACCACCACTACCACCGCCACCACCATCACCGCCGCCACCACTACCGCCACAACCACCACCGCCACCACCACCTCCACCACCACAACCACCACCGCCACCACCACCACTGCCGCCACCACCGCCACCACCACCACCACCACCACCACCGCCACCACCACCGCCACCACCACCACCGCCACCACCACCACCGCCACCACCACCGCCACCACCACCGCCACCACCATCACCGCCACCACCGCCGCCACCACCTCCACCACCACCACCACCACTACCGCCACCACCACCACCGCCACTACCGCCACCACCACCACCGCCACTCTCTCCCGCAGAGCGGGACAAGTCTGACAATGGAGAGGTGTTCCAAAGGAGGAGGCCGGGCGCCGTCGCCGGTGGCGGAATGGGAGTGGGAGGGGGAGGAGGGGGGGGAGGAGGGGGGGGCTGGGGGGGATCGGACGCGGCGATCACCGGACCCGCCACTCTCGCTCCGGAGAGCCGGCGAGCCGAGAGCTGGCGCAGGATACTCCTCCTGATCCTCGCCATCACCATCCACAACATCCCAGGTGACCCCTCCTCACCATCACCATCACCATCCACAACATCCCAGGTGACGACTCGCCACCATCACCATCCACAACATCCCAAGTGACGACTTCATCCTCGCCATCACCATCCACAACATCCCAGGTGACCCCTCCTCACCATCACCATCACCATCCACAACATCCCAGGTGACGACTCGCCACCATCACCATCCACAACATCCCAGGTGACCCCTCCTCACCATCACCATCACCATCCACAACATCCCAGGTGACGACTCACCCTCACCATCCTCACCATCACCATCCTCACCATCACCATCCACAACATCCCAGGTGACGACTCGCCATCTTCACCATCACCATCACCATCCACAACATCCCAGGTGATGACTCATCACCATCCTCGCCATCACCATCCACAACATCCCAGGTGACCACTCGCCATCTTCACCATCACCATCACCATCCACAACATCCCAGGTGATGACTCATCACCATCCTCGCCATCACCATCCACAACATCCCAGGTGACTCACCCTCGCCATCACCATCACCATCCTCGCCATCACCATCCACAACATCCCAGGTGCCGACGGTGGCGATGGCATCATCGTCATCATCGCCGCCACCATCGTTGTTGTCGTTGCTGTCATTGTTGTTGTTGTCGGTTTTGTCATTGTTGTTGTTGTTGCTGTCATTGTCGTTGTTGTCATTGTTGTTGTTGTCGGTTTTGTCATTGTTGTTGTTGTTGCTGTCATTGTCGTTGTTGTCATTGTTGTTGTTGTCGGTTTTGTCATTGTTGTTGTTGTTGCTGTCATTGTCGTTGCTGTCATTGTTGTTGTTGTCGGTTTTGTCATTGTTGTTGTTGTTGCTGTCATTGTCGTTGTTGTCATTGTTGTTGCTGTCATTGTCGTTGTTGTCATTGTTGTTGTTGTCGGTTTTGTCATTGTTGTTGTTGTTGCTGTCATTGTCGTTGTTGTCATTGTTGTTGCTGTCATTGTCGTTGTTGTCATTGTTGTTGTTGTCGGTTTTGTCATTGTTGTTGTTGTTGCTGTCATTGTCGTTGTTGTCATTGTTGTTGTTGTCATTGTCGTTGTTGTCATTGTTGTTGTTGTCGGTTTTGTCATTGTTGTTGTTGTTGCTGTCATTGTCGTTGTTGTCATTGTTGTTGCTGTCATTGTCGTTGTTGTCATTGTTGCTGTCATTGTTGTTGTTGTCATTGTTGTTGCTGTCATTGTCGTTGCTGTCATTGTCATTGTTGTCATTGTTGTTGTTGTTGTTGTTGCTGTCATTGTCGTTGTTGTCATTGTTGTCATTGTTGTTGTTGTCGTTGTTGTTGTCATTGTTGTCATTGTTGTTGCTGTCATTGTCGTTGTTGTCATTGTTGTCATTGTTGTTGTTGTTGTTGTTGTCATTGTTGTCGTTGTCATTGTTGTCGTTGTTGTTGTCATTGTTGTCATTGTTGTTGTTGTCATTGTCGTTGTTGTCATCGTTGTTGTCTGCAACGCCGTTATTGCGCCAATTTCTATATCGGTTATTTTTGTGATTTCTGATTCAGTCTTGTTTCTGCAAATTCTATTTCGTTGCTTTTGTACTGATTTATATTTGTTGTTTTTTCACGTACAAAATGTTTATATTATATATTTTCCATAATTGTTTCCATATTTTTTTATATTACAATTTTTTTATATTATATATGGTTTCTATTATTATATTTTCCATCATTTAAAATGTATTTTCTCTATAATTTTTTTCTATTCTTTTTTCCATAATTCGTTCGAAAGTTTTCAGTTCTTTTTTCCCCCATTTTTATAAGTTCTACATACTTTTCCCATACCTACGATCAGCACGGTTGGCAAACGTACCGTACTGACTGTACCCGATGTCTCCACGGCAGAGGGCCTTGCTGTCGGCGTGGGCTTTGGAGCCATCGGCAAGACGAAGTCGGCCACGTTTGAGAACGCGCGGTGAGTGCCGTCGCTTCCTTCCCTCTGCCAGATGCCTCCTCTCTCTCCCTGCTCGGCCCACACCGCACCTCGCAAGAAGCACTCTCAGCCTCGGCTCTGGCTCAGCCCGTGACTTGCGTGGTGGTGATGATGATAAGTCTGCTGACAAAATGTATCTGAATTCGGTGGTGGCTATGAGATGTTGACTACCTCACCTGGTATACAGGAGGTCGTGGGTTCGATCCCGACCCTGACGCCTGCTGCTGTGTATTTGGAGTTTGCGTGTCTCTCTCTCTCATCATCATCACGGTGGCTAGGAGATGTTAACTACCTCGCCTGGTATACAGGAGGTCGTGGGTTCAATCCCGACCCTGACGCCTGCTGCTGTATATTTGGAGTTTGCGTGTCTCTCTCTCTCATCATCATCACGGTGGCTGGGAGATGTTAACTACCTCGCCTGGTGCGCAGGAGGTCGTGGGTTCGATCCCGACCCTGACGCCTGCTGCTGTATATTTGGAGTTTGCGTGTCTCTCTCTCTCATCATCATCACGGTGGCTGGGAGATGTTAACTACCTCGCCTGGTGTACAGGAGGTCGTGGGTTCGATCCCGACCCTGACGCCTGCTGCTGTATATTTGGAGTTTGCGTGTCTCTCTCTCATCATCATCATCACGGTGGCTGGGAGATGTTAACTACCTCGCCTGGTATACAGGAGGTCGTGGGTTCGATGCCGACCCTGACGCCTGCTGCTGTATATTTGGAGTTTGCGTGTCTCTCTCTCATCATCACGGTGGCTAGGAGATGTTAACTACCTCGCCTGGTGTGCAGGAGGTCGTGGGTTCGATCCCGACCCTGACGCCTGCTGCTGTATATTTGGAGTTTGCGTGTCTCTCTCTCATCATCATCACGGTGGCTAGGAGATGTTAACTACCTCGCCTGGTGTGCAGGAGGTCATGGGTTCAATCCCGACCCTGACGCCTGCTGCTGTGTATTTGGAGTTTGCGTGTCTCTCTCTCTCATCATCATCACGGTGGCTAGGAGATGTTGACTACCTCACCTGGTGTGCAGGAGGTCGTGGGTTCGATCCCGACCCTGACACCTGCTGCTGTATATTTGGAGTTTGAGTGGCTCTCTCTCTCTCATCATCACAGTGGCTAGGAGATGTTAACTACCTCGCCTGGTGTACAGGAGGTCGTGGGTTCGATCCCGACCCTGATGATGCCTGCTGCTGTATATTTGGAGTTTGCGTGTCTCTCTCTCTCATCATCATCACGGTGGCTAGGAGATGTTGACTACCTCGCCTGGTATACAGGAGGTCGTGGGTTCGATCCCGACGCTGACGCCTGCTGCTGTATATTTGGAGCGTACGTATGTATCGCGTACGTACGCACGTACTTGATACACTCAACAAAGTGGCGTATCGTGTACGTACGCGATACGCCACTTTGTTGAGCGATCGTCTGTGGCCAGGTCGCTCTCCGAAAAAAAAGAAATTAACACCTCAGCGGGCTTTAGATGGAAAAAAAAAAACCATTGCGGTGGTTTTATTTGTATCTTTGTTGAAAAGGTGCTTTGTTTACCTTTCCTGTTCTTTGTTTTTCGTGACTGTTTGTCGTTGCAACGTTCTGACCGCGTGCCCCGACTGGACATCCTCCTGCGGTATAAATATTCTGATTCTTCCGAAGTCTAATTCGGTCACTCGCCGCCGTTCCCCGCGTTTGCAATTCGCAGGAATCTGGCGATCGGAATCGGCATCCAGAACTTCCCGGAAGGCCTCGCGGTCAGCCTGCCGCTGAGGGGGGCGGGCGTGCCCCCGTGGAAAGCGTTCTGGTGAGCGCACGGGCACGGGCAGACACGCACACAGACACGCACCCAGACACGCACCCAGACACGCACAGACACGCACCTAGACACGCACAGACACGCACACAGACACGCACCCAGACACGCACAGACACGCGCACAGACACGCACCTAGACACGCACAGACACGCACACAGACACGCACCCAGACACGCACAGACACGCGCACAGACACGCACCCAGACACGCACAGACACGCACACAGACACGCACACAGACACGCACACAGACACGCACCCAGACACGCACCCAGACACGCGCACAGACACGCGCACAGACACGCACCTAGACACGCACAGACACGCACCTAGACACGCACAGACACGTACGTACAGACACGCACAGACACGCACAGACACGCACAGACACGTACGTACAGACACGCACAGACACGCACAGACACGTACGTACAGACACACACAGACACGCACAGACAGACACACACAGACACACATACACACAGACACACGCACAGACACGCACACACACACACAGACATGCACAGACACGGACAGACACACGCACAGACACGTACGTACAGACACGTACAGACACGCGTACAGACACGCACAGACACGCGTACAGACACGCACAGACACACGTACAGACACGTACAGACACGTACAGACACACGTACAGAAACGCACAGACACACACAGACACGCACAGACACACGTACAGACACGTACAGACACGCACAGACAGTCACACACAGATACGCACAGACATGCACAGACACACACAGACGCGCACAGACACACACAAACACACTCAGACACGTACACACACGCACAGACATCCACAGACACGTACGTACAGACACGCACAGACACGCACAGACACACGCACAGACACGCACAGACACGCACAGACACGCACAGACACACGCACAGACACGCACAGACACGCACAGACACGCACGCACAGACACGTACAGACACGCAGACACGCACAGACACACGTACAGATACAGACACGCACAGACACACACGCACAGACACGCACAAACACACGCGCACAGACACGTACGTACAGACACGCACAGACACACGTACAGACACGCACAGACATGTACAGACAGGCACGCACAGATACACACAGATACAGACACCCACAGATAAAGACACGCACAGACATGCACACAGACAGTCACACACGCGCACAGACACATGCACAGACAGACACACAGACAGTCACACACACGCACAGACACACGCACAGACAGACACACAGACAGACACAAAGACACGCAGAGACAGACACACACGCGCACAGACACAGTCGGTCACACACGCGCACAGACACAGACACAGTCACACACGCGCACAGACACACGCACAGACAGACACACAGACAGACACAAAGACACGCAGAGACAGACACACACGCGCGCAGACACAGTCGGTCACACACGCGCAGACACAGTCGGTCACACACACGCACAGACACAGACACAGTCACACAGCGCACAGACAGACACATACATACACACATACAGACACAAAGACACAGACACGCAGAGACAGACAAACACGCGCACAGACACAGACACGTGAACAGACAGACACAAAGACACACAGACACAGTCACACACGCGCACAGACACAGACGGTCACACACGCGCACAGACACAGTCACACACGTGCACAGACACACACACAGTCACACACGTGCACAGACACACACACACAGTCACACACGCGCACAGACACACACACACGTGCACAGACACAGACACACACACACGTGTGTGCGTGTGCCAGGTACGGGCAGCTGAGCGGGATGGTGGAGCCCGTGGCGGGGGTGCTGGGCGCCGTCGCCGTCATGGTGGCCGAGCCGCTGCTGCCCTTCGCACTCGCCTTCGCCGCGGGGGCCATGGTCTACGTCGTGGTGGATGACATCATCCCCGAGGCCCACGCCGGGTGAGTCGCCCGCTCGCTCGCCCGCCCGCTCGCTCGCCCACGCTTTCACTCGCTCGCTCAATTGCTCGCCCACCCGCTCGCCTGCTCGCTCGTCTGCCCGCCCGCCCGCCTACCCACTTGCTCACTCGCTCGCTCGCTCACTTACTCGCCCGCTAGTCCATTAGCTCGCTCGTCGACTCGCCCGCCCACTCGCTCACTCGCCCGCCCGCTCTTTAACTTGTTAGTTCACTCGCTCGCCCAACTGCTTGCCCACCCACCCACTTAGTCACTTGCCCACCCACCCATTCACCCACCCGCACACCCACCCGCTCACCCACCCACTCACCCACCCACCCGCTCACCCACACACCCACCCACCCGCTCACCCACTCACCCGCTCACCCACACACCCATTCACCCACCCACCCTCCCGCTCACCCACCCATCCGCTCACCCACCCACCCGCTCACCCACACACCCATTCACCCACCCACTCGCTCACCCACACACCCGCTCACCCATACACCCGCTCACCCACACACCCGCTCACCCACTCACCCATTCACCCACCCGCTCACCCACCCACCTGCCCGCTCGCTCACCTGCATGCTACCCGCACGCTCGTCCGCTCACTCACGAGCAGGCGAGCTCCCGGGTCAACATCGGTGAAGAATATACAAACCTGTCCTGGGCCTCCCCTTAGGTCAACTCAGCCTGAAATTAGTTAACTGATTTGTCTGTGTGCACGTGTTGCTGGCCACCTACCCCCTCGTGTACCGTGCCAGCCTTAATAGGTGCTCACTAACCGCACACTTGCCCCAACGGGTGAAGCCTTGGTCTAAAGAGCGCGTGGATGCGGGGAGCGGTGGCGCAGCGGTTAGCGCGCGCTGCACCACGAACTCCGGCACCGCGAGTTCGATTCCCGCTCACAGCCACCGACGACGAATTTCCGAACCGGCGCCGCGCCTCCCCTAGGTCGACTCAGCCACGAACTAGCACCTGGTGCCACGCGTACAAAACATGGACGCTGGGGAGACAAAGGCGGCCGGGGCGCGGTGCTGGCCACCAGCCCCCTCGCGCTGCCGCTCCCCGCTAACGGCACTTGCCCCGACAGCCTGCGCAGGCTACACGGGGGATCTTTGTCTTTGGTTTGCCACGACTTTGCTCTGCCGTAAGTCACTCCGTCGTCACCCTCCCCCCCCCCCTCTGTGGTTTGATCTGCAGCGGCAACGGCAAGCTGGCGTCGTGGTCGGCCATCGTGGGCTTCGTGGTGATGATGTGTCTGGACGTTGGGCTGGGCTGAGGGGCCAGGACGGGATACCCACGGCGCACAACGACACACGTCACACCACGACACACAACACGACACACGACACACCACGACACACACACCACACCACGACACACGTCACACCACGACACACGTCACACCACGACACACACCACGACACACACCACACCACGACACACAACACACCACGACACACAACACACCACGACACACGACACACCACAATACACACCACGACACACGACACACCACGACACACGTCACACCACAACACACCACGACACGCAACACACACGTCACACCACGACACACAACACACCACGACACACGTCACACCACGACACACAACACACCACGACACACGTCACACCACGACACACAACACACCACGACACGTCACACCACGACACACACCACACACGTCACACCACGACACACAACACACCACGACACACGTCACACCACGACACACCACGACACGCAACATACCACGACACACAACACACCATGACACACACCACGACACACGTCACACCACGACACACAACACACCACGACACACGTCACACCACGACACACACCACGACACACACCACACACGTCACACGTCACACCACGACACACGTCACACCACGACACACCACGACACACAACACACCACGACACACGTCACACCACGACACACCACGACACGCAACATACCACGACACACAACACACCATGACACACACCACGACACACGTCACACCACGACACACCACGACACGCAACATACCACGACACACAACACACCATGACACACACACACACGTCACACCACGTACACACCACGACACGCAACATACCACGACACACAACACACCATGACACACACCACGACACACGTCACACCACGACACACAACACACCATGACACACACCACGACACACGTCACACCACGACACACAACACACCACGACACACGTCACACCACGACACACACCACGACACACACCACACACGTCACACGTCACACCACGACACACAACACACCACGACACACGTCACACCACGACACACCACGACACGCAACATACCACGACACACAACACACCATGACACACACCACGACACACGTCACACCACGACACACCACGACACGCAACATACCACGACACACAACACACCATGACACACACCACGACACACGTCACACCACGACACACCACGACACGCAACATACCACGACACACAACACACCATGACACACACCACGACACACGTCACACCACGACAAACAAAACACCATGACACACACCACGACACACGTCACACCACGACACACAACACACCATGACACACACCACGACACACGTCACACCACGTCACACGTCACACCACGACACACAACACACCACGACACACCACGACACACACCACGACACACACCACACACGTCACACCACGACACACAACACACCACGACACACGTCACACCACGACACACCACGACACGCAACATACCACGACACACAACACACCATGACACACACCACGACACACGTCACACCACGACACACAACACACCATGACACACAACACACCATGACACACACCACGACACACGTCACCCCACGACACCCCACGACACACAACACACCATGACACACACCACGACACACGTCACACCACGACACACAACACACCACACCACGACAAACACAATACACACCACGATACACCACACCACGACACACACCACGACACACAACATTACACATCACACCACGACACACACGACGACACACACCACGACAAAGACCACGTTACACAACACACCACGACACACACCACACTGTGACACACACCACGACACACACCATACTGCGACACACACCATGACACACAACACACTGTGACACACACCACACCGGGATACACGCTACGCCAGGGTAGACCACAACACACCGCAGTCGACTGATATACCACCACACACGACACACACGGCACGGCTGTAGCGTACGTCGCAGCGTAACGCCCCACCACATTACAGCACGCCGGAGCCCAACGCACAACACAGACACGTCACAGACGCACAACACAGACACACAACAGGCACACAACACAGACACAACACAGGCACACAACACAGGCACACAACACAGACACACAACACAGACACACAGACACAGACGCACAACACAGGCACACAGTCGCACAACACAGGCACACAGACACACAACACAGGCACGTCACAGACGCACAACACAGACACACAGACACACAACACAGGCACACAACACAGGCACACAGACGCACAACACAGTCGCACAACATAAACATCCCCCGTGTAGCCTGTAACAGACTGTTGGGGCAAGTGCTGTTAGTGAACACACACACACTTAACGCGTACACACGTGCACGTACACACACACACACGGACTCGGATACACACCAGTAAGGACTGCACTTGAATCCGCACCCAAAAAAGACAGATCCCCCATGTAGCCTTAAGACTGTTAGGGCAAGTGCTGTTAGCGAACACACACACACACGCGTACACACACACACACGCGCGTACACACACACGTACACACGCGCGCGTACACACAACACGTACACACGCGTACACGCACACACGCGTACACACACGCGTACACGTACACACACGCACGTGTACACGCACACACACACACGCGTGTACACACACGCACGTGTACACGCACACACACACGCACGCGTGTACACACACACGTGTACACACACACACACGTGTACACACACACACGCGTACACACACACACAATCCTTTTGCTCTTCCAGAGAAACCCGCGGGGCGTGTGAATCCACGGGTCCGGTGTTGGTTCTCGGCCATCTTCTCAGTCTCTCGCGTTTCAATGAAACGGTGCGGTGTTTACAATTCAAAGAAAATTTATTATTACGAATGATATCTATTAAACAAATGTATATGCAGACGTGAAAACAAACAAAATGGATGTCTATAATCAACTGCGTGAGTTTACGGACAAAACTCGCTGCATTTCTTGACGACAAATCGATATTGTTTTATACGTAGGTGGCAGATTGATTTTAGTTTTGGAATCTCTATGGTTGTTGCCTTTTCTTCACGAGGGTTTAAATAATAAACTGGGACGCTTGGTCATTTGCCGCCTTGCTAGCTTTTTGTTCACTGCGTTGAGCGTTCGTGACTGCAGCAGGGATTCATCTTCTTGGTTTTTTTCGGTAAAGTCACGTAGAAGGGAAGTAATAAAATAATAAAAATAAAACATAATAAAATTTCGATTTAAAGCTTTCGTGACTGCAGGGATTCATCTTCTTGGTTCTTTCAGTAAAGTCACGTAGAAGGGAAGTAATAAAATAATAAAAATAAAACATTATAAAATAATTCTCACGACGTTTCGGCTACAACGCAAGCAGCCGTCTTCAGTGTCTCATTCTTCACCTGAAGACGGCTGCTTGCGTTGTAGCCAAAACGTCGTGAGAATTATTTTATTATGTTTTATTTTTATTATTTGATTACTTCCCTTCTACGTGACTTTACCGAAAAAACCAAGAAGATGCATTGAGTGTGTTTCCGTATTTCCGGAAAATACCGCAGCCACCACTCACATCCTTAATTCAACCCGAAAAAACGCGGCCAGCGATTTTTAAACTCGTCATCACCACCCCGGGCGTGTCAACGGCGTCACGACCTCCAAAACAATTCCGTTTCGGAAATCTTGGGAGCCCGGTGGCAAGCCCCTCTGTGTTGTTAGTGAACAGCCCGTGGAAGTGGTGATCACAGATCTACCTCCGAGATCACCTCCATCAAGTGGCTCTCTCGTCCACTCAACGTCCCGTGGAAGTGGTGATCACAGATCTACCTCCGAGATCACCTCCATCAAGTGGCTCTCTCGTCCACTCAACGTCCCGTGATAGTGGTGATCACAGATCTACCTCCGAGATCACCTCCATCAAGTGGCTCTCTCGTCCACTCAACGTCCCGTGGAAGTGGTGATCACAGATCTACCTCCGAGATCACCTCCATCAAGTGGCTCTCTGGTCCACTCAACGTCCCGTGGAAGTGGTGATCACAGATCTACCTCCGAGATCACCTCCATCAAGTGGCTCTCTCGTGCACTCAACGTCCCGTGGAAGTGGTGATCACAGATCTACCTCCGAGATCACCTCCATCAAGTGGCTCTCTGGTCCACTCAACGTCCCGTGGAAGTGGTGATCACAGATCTACCTCCGAGATCACCTCCATCAAGTGGCTCTCTGGTCCACTCAACGTCCCGTGGAAGTGGTGATCACAGATCTACCTCCGAGATCACCTCCATCAAGTGGCTCTCTGGTCCACTCAACGTCCCGTGGAAGTGGTGATCACAGATCTACCTCCGAGATCACCTCCATCAAGTGGCTCTCTGGTCCACTCAACGTCCCGTGGAAGTGGTGATCACAGATCTACCTCCGAGATCACCTCCATCAAGTGGCTCTCTCGTGCACTCAACGTCCCGTGGAAGTGGTGATCACAGATCTACCTCCGAGATCACCTCCATCAAGTGGCTCTCTCGTGCACTCAACGTCCCGTGGAAGTGGTGATCACAGATCTACCTCCGAGATCACCTCCATCAAGTGGCTCTCTCGTCCACTCAACGTCCCGTGGAAGTGGTGATCACAGATCTACCTCCGAGATCACCTCCATCAAGTGGCTCTCTCGTCCACTCAACGTCCCGTGGAAGTGGTGATCACAGATCTACCTCCGAGATCACCTCCATCAAGTGGCTCTCTGGTCCACTCAACGTCCCGTGGAAATGGTGATCACAGATCTACCTCCGAGATCACCTCCATCAAGTGGCTCTCTCGACCACTCAACGTCCCGTGGAAATGGTGATCACAGATCTACCTCCGAGATCACCTCCATCAAGTGGCTCTCTGGTCCACTCAACGTCCCGTGGAAGTGGTGATCACAGATCTACCTCCGAGATCACCTCCATCAAGTGGCTCTCTGGTCCACTCAACGTCCCGTGGAAATGGTGATCACAGATCTACCTCCGAGATCACCTCCATCAAGTGGCTCTCTCGTCCACTCAACGTCCCGTGGAAGTGGTGATCACAGATCTACCTCCGAGATCCACGCACGGTAAAGTGGCAGCACGTTGCCACACACTCTGGCCCATGAGTTGACGGTCGTGGGTATGACAGTCGGACTGACTTTTTTTTTTATTGTGACAGCTGGAATTTAGCCAAATTAAGTGACACACGGACAAAATTCACACACACGGACATGCACTCATTTTTTTTACTTAAATTATAAATGTTGTGGTTTCACACTTCAACACACCGGTGGGCTAAAGCAGTGAACTATTTGTCTTTTGTCAACGTGACACTTTTTTACTGATAGGCCGTGTCGGGCGGTGGAGGGTTACGAAACATTTATAAATAACGCAATCTAAACCCAAAAACGTTGATTATGAATGCACTCATTATTTGTACTGTCGTATTCATTGTGCCGATGTTTACATTGCTATTCAGAATAATATTTATACTGGAGAAATCCGATGAGCTATTAAGCTCTTTCACAGATGTCCAGTTAGTTTCAGAGATGTCCCAGTAGTGGTAAGAATTCTCCTAAAGGCTGTCATTCCCAATGCCGCGTTTCCTCATTCCTTGGTCAAGAATAGCCCGTGGCAACAAAAAAAAAACCCAACTTTTCTTTTACAAAAGCAAAAAAGAAAAAATACGTACACTTCATCCACTGCAAAACACAACTTTAATAACTTAAAAGTTTTTAAAACAAGCCACACCCAGGCAAAGCGACGCGCGCGCTCTTACACGCGAGTCGGTCAGCGCGCAATAAATAACATCAAATTAAAATGAGAACGCACCATGCGCCAGCGTAAACGACCAAGAGACACCCGTAAATAACAACAAAATAATGTCCACGAGATGCGACGTCGAAAACAGAAGGGGCGGACTGGACTGTTACTGCCAATTCCAACGCACAAAGTGCAGCGTCTCCCCCGACAAAATTAACAAAAAATATATTTTTTTAAATTACGCAAACGACGCGGATTTCACACCTCCCGGATTGGCACGGTTTGGCTACGGTACGGCACGCGAACGGATTTGCACGTTACATTCTCGAGCGAATGACGAGAGGAGAGGGGGGGGGGACGTTTGCATCGCGTAGCGCTGTATGCACACTTCAAGTGCCGAGCGTGTGATGTCGAGCGACGGTGGTGGTGGTGCTAGTGGTGTTGGTGCTAGTGGTGGTGTTGGTGCTAGTGGTGGTGTTGGTGGTGGTGCTAGTGGTGGTGTTGGTGGTGATAGTGGTGGTGGTGTTGGTGCTAGTGGTGGTGTTGGTGGTGGTGCTAGTGGTGGTGGTGGTGCTAGTGGTGGTGGTGGTGCTAGTGGTGGTGTTGGTGCTAGTGGTGGTGGTGGTGCTAGTGGTGGTGCTAGTGGTGGTGCTAGTGGTGGTGCTAGTGGTGGTGGTGCTGGTGCTAGTGGTGGTGCTAGTGGTGGTGGTGCTAGTGGTGCTAGTGGTGGTGCTAGTGGTGGTGGTGCTAGTGGTGGTGCTAGTGGTGGTGGTGCTAGTGGTGGTGCTGGTGGTGGTGCTAGTGGTGGTGGTGGTGCTAGTGGTGGTGGTGGTGCTAGTGCTGGTGCTAGTGCTGGTGCTAGTGCTGGTGCTAGTGGTGGTGCTAGTGGTAGTGCTAGTGGTGGTGGTGCTAGTGGTGGTGCTAGTGGTGCTAGTGGTGGTGCTAATGGTGGTGGTGGTGCTAGTGGTGGTGGTGGTGCTAATGGTGGTGGTGGTGCTAGTGGTGGTCGTGATGACCGTGTTGGTGGCGGTGGAGAGCGGTGGTGCAGCGGTCAAACGCGCTGTGCTACGAAACTGACGACCAGAGTTCGATTCCCGCTCACGGCCAACACCGGTGACGATTATCTGAACCGGTCCTAGGCCTCCCCTAGGTTGACTTAGCCTCAAATGAGTACCTGAAGCGGTGTAGTAAACATCTCCACTGGGGAGACAAAGGCGGCCGGGTGTGGTGCTGGCCACCCACCCCCTCGTGTGCCATGCTGGGCTTCATAAATTCTACTCGCTAACAGCACTTGCCCCGACAGTCTGTTAAGGCTACACGGGGGATCTTTGTCCGTCTAGTGACTAGTTAGTAGCTGATGGTGGTGCTTGCGATTGTGGTAGCAATGTGCTACTAGCGACGGTGGTGGTTATGACTGTGGGAGTGGTGATGGAGAGTCTGGTCAAGGTAGTTGGTTGGTGGTGGTGGTGGTGATTGTGATTAAGGTGTCTTTGTCTTTGGTAGTATTGTTGTTTGGTGATGATAGTGATCATTGTGCTGGTAATGGTGGTTATGATGGTGGTGGTGGTGGTGATTGTGATTAAGATGTCTTTGGTAGTATTGTTGTTTGGTGATGACAGTGATCATTGTGTTGGTAATGGTGGTTATGATGATGATGGTGGTGATTGTGATTAAGATGTCTTTGGTAGTATTGTTATTTGGTGATGATAGTGATCATTGTGCAGGTAATGGTGGTTATGATGATGATGGTGGTGATTGTGATTAAGATGTCTTTGGTAGTATTGTTGTTTGGTGATGACAGTGATCATTGTGCAGGTAATGGTGGTTATGATGATGATGGTGGTGGTGGTGGTGGTAGTGATAGCGGCTCTGAACATTGTGGTTATGATTGTATTAGCGGTGGTGGGTCATCATGGCGACAGTGGCTGTAATGACTGACATTAGCAATTGGTGATGGCGGCGATTGTGATGCAGTCGATTGGGGTGGTAATATGATGATAGTGGTAGTGCCGAAGATACAAAGTTTTGATTTAAGTGCTAGAAATCTTAGTAGTGATGGGGATGGATTGATGATGATGATGATTATAATAATAATGACGTAACCCTCTGGGACTGTATTCCCAGCCGTGGCTCGGCTCTGGCTCATCGAGGGCTTGTGCCGCTGAGATTCTCTCAAAGTGAGTGGCTCAGCTGTGGCTCAGCCGTGGCTCAGCCGTGGCTCAGCCGTGGCTCAGCCGTGGCTCAGCTGTGGCTCAGCTGTGGCTCAGCTGTGGCTCAGCTGTAGCTCAACTGTAGCTCAGCCGTGGCTCAGCCGTGGCTCAGCCGTGGCTCAGCTGTAGCTCAGCTGTTCTCAAAGCCACCTCGAGTGAGCGACTCAGCCGTGGCTCGGCACTGGCTCAGCTCGTGGGTCTGCACCCAGAGCCGCGGTGGCTGCTGGGAGACCGTGGCTCAAGAGCCGGCCCCCGAGTTGAGCGCGCGGCTGGCACGCTTGTTGAGCCTCGCGCTCACTTGAGCCAGAGCCACGACCAAGAAGAATGCGGGGCGGGGGGCGGGGGGGGGCGCGGGGGCATCATCAGACTCCACCTCACCGCCTGCGTTTCGTGGCCAAACAGCCCCCCACCCGCCACCGCCGTGCGTTTGTAAACGTGGCCGCAGAAAAAACGCAATCCCTTGGGGGGGGCAGGGAGGGTAAAGGGGGGCGTAAACGCCGGCCACGTCGGGGCTGCGGCAAGCGCGGCCACCAAACGTATCGCCGCGGTCAAGAGTGTCACGGCGGAGAAATGGCGCTGCCGCTACGGCACCCGGCGGGCGGGGGAACGCGCGGACCGTACTTCACCGGGCTGGTCAGGGTCAGGGCGGGCTGGTGGCACGGCACGCGGGGCGGGAAGGGGGTTTGGGGGCGGGGGGAGGGTCGGGAGAAGGGCGATGGCTCCGGCTGGGCTGGAGTCGATATTTAAAAATGTAATTTGCTATCGCTGTTATCGCTCGCCACCGATGTTAGCCGTAGGACGGGGAATCCAACTCCGGTTCACGGGGTTCGGTGTGAACACCGCTGAGGTGCCATCCCAAACACCACCATCCCCCACCCCTAACCCTGACTCAGTTTATAGGAGCACGTTTTGATTATTAATGGGTTTCATCCGAGAGAGGACCTGGAGGAAACCCATGCAGGACAGGGGACATCATACAAACTCCACTCACTCACTCTGCAGAACAGGGGGAGATCACACAAACTCCACTCTGTAGAACAGGTGGAAGCCATACAAAGTCTACTCACTCTGCAGGACAGGTGGAGGCCATTCAAAACTCCACACAGGAAGGTGCTTAAATCCGAGATGATTTCCCCATGCTTAATGTCACACGTACAGCGCCCCTATCCGCGTAGCTGACCCCTCGCAATACTGGGGGGACCCCTTTGGCTTCGAGGAGATGGAAGACTGAACATGGCAGTGGCGCTGCGACACGACGGCTATTACGGTGAATGATTTGGCGACGCTGCTGCTGCTGCATTGGCATACAAGCACAACTTGGGCATCACGGTGGCTAGATGTTAACTCCCTCGCCTGGCATGCACGAGGTCGTGGGTTCATTCCGGACCCTGTCGCCTGCTGTATATTTGGAGTTTGCGTGTCTCTCTCTCTCATCATCATCATCACAGTGGCTAGGAGATGTTAACTACCTCGCCTGGTGTACAGGAGGTCGTGGGTTCCATCCCGACCCTGACGCCTGCTGCTGTGTATTTGGAGTTTGCGTGTCTCTCTTCCATCATCATCATCATCACGGTGGCTAGGAGATGTTAACTACCTCGCCTGGCATGCAGGAAGTCGTGGGTTCGTTCCGGACCCTGTCGCCTGCTGCTGTATATTTGGAGTTTGCGTGTCTCTCTCTCTCTCATCATCATCATCACGGTGGCTAGGAGATGTTAACTACCTCGCCTGGTATACAGGAGGTCGTGGGTTCAATCCTGACACTGACGCCTGCTGCTGTATATTTGGAGTTTGCGTGTCTCTCTCATCATCATCATCACGGTGGCTAGGAGATGTTAACTACCTCGCCTGGCATGCAGGAGGTCGTGGGTTCGATCCCGACCCTGACACCTGCTGCTGTATATTTGGAGTTTGCGTGTCTCTCATCATCATCATCGCCACGGTGGCTAGGAGATGTTAACTACCTCGCCTGGTATGCAGGAAGTCGTGGGTTCAATCCTGACACTGACGCCTGCTGTAGATTTGGAGTTTGAGTGCCTCTCTCCCCGTGGCCGCGTGGATCTTTCTCCGGGTACTCCGGTTTTTCCCTCCACGTTTAAGACTCAACGAGTATTTGGCTGCTAGAAATTTCCACACGACGATGATGACGATGATGATCAGACACTTCGTTGACCTACCATTTGCGATAGACAGGGTCGCTTCTGATAAAAAAAAAAAGCTACACAGCTAAGCGGGGGCCTTCGCTGGTAAAATAAACATTTCTTAAAGTCGTTGGTTACCCCGGTCGGTTAATGGCCGGGGCGAGGTTACGAACAAGATGCCCCCGGCTCTCACGTTTGTCCCGGCGCACCTCACATGGCCAGCGACGGACGCTTCTTGATGGCGATGCTCCCAACTTTCCTTGCGCCGCCGCCGCCGCTGCCGCCGCCGCTGCCTCCTGCACGCCCGACAAGAGGTGAAACGACACGGAACAAAACGAAACGGGTCAATAATAAATGTTTTTTTTGAACACATTCGTTTCGAGACAACTTTGTGGCCCTGTCGGGCGCGCCGCGGTGGCTCGGAGATGTTGACTCCCTCGCCTGGTCTACAGGAGGTCGTGGGTTCCATCCCTACCCTGACGCCTGCTGCTGTATATTTGGAGTTTGCATGTTTCTCTCTCATCATCATCACGGTGGCTAGGAGATGTTGACTCCCTCACCTGGTCTACAGGAGGTCGTCGATTTCATCCCTACCCCGACACCTGCTGTATATTTTGAGTTTGCGTGTCTCTCTCGCATCATCATCACGGTGGCTAATTGTTAACTCCCTCGCCTGGTATGCAGGAGGTCGTGGGTTCCATCCCGACCCTGACGATGCCTGTTGCATATTTGCAGTTTGCATGTCTCTCTCTCTCTCCCATCATCATCACGGTGGCTAGGAGATGTTGACTACCTCGCCTGGTGTACAGGAGGTCGTGGGTTTGATCCCGACCCTGACGCCTGCTGCTGTATATTTGAGTTTGCGTGTCTCTCTCTCATCATCATCACGGTGGCTAGGAGATGTTGACTACCTCGCCTGGTATGCAGGAGGTCGTGGGTTCCATCCCGACACTGACACCCGCTGTATATTTGGAGTTTGCGTCTCTATCATCATCATCACGGTGGCTAAGAGATGTTAACTACATCGCCTGGTGTACAGGAGGTCGTGGGTTCCATCCCGACGCTGACGCCTGCTGCTGTATATTTGGAGTTTGCGTGTCTCTCTCTCTCATCATCATCACGGTGGCTCGGAGAAGTTAACTCCCTCGCCTGGTGTACAGGAGGTTGTGGGTTAGATCCCGACCCTGACGCCTGCTGCTGTATATTTGGAGTTTGCGTGTCTTTCTCTCTCTCTCCCCGTGGTCGCGTGGCTTTCTTTTCCCCCCCTCCACGTTTAGATTCAACGCCACGCGCTCAACAGCGTTTGCCTACTCATATTCAGCCACATTTTGAGCCGTGACACCGGCACACAACGGCCTGCTCTTCATCTATATATATAAAAGGGAAATTTGTGAATGTGTGTGTCTGTGCGAAATGTTTAGCATACTTCCCAACAAACTTGAAAATTGGCATGTGGGTAGCTTCTAGACTGTACACAATGCAACAAGTATAAAAGTTGACTTTTGTATTTTGGGGGGGGGGGGCGCAATAATGGATATATTTTGCACGGCAAGTGAGCGGTGACATCATTAATCCAGGACAAGAATCCAAGTCTCGGGCAAAGCCAGGTAGTAAAGCTCGTCAAATGTAAACGCCACGGGGTTCCTTTGACGTCCACTCTGAAGCAGTGCCTGACGGTTACTACAAACGCACGCTATTAACCAGATTAACACATAGGGCTTTCGCGATCAATATTTTCCACAAGAGGTTTTCTTTGGGTTAGATCGCGTAAATATGAATGTTGTCGTTAAACCCGCCACCACCCGACACAGCCAATTAGTAAGATTTTTCAAGCCCTGGGTCTGGGTGTCTCTCTCTCTCCGTGGGTTCATAATGGCTGTTGTGGGACACAATGAGCCACCACTGCTGAGATTCTGGGTTCAAGCCCTGGGTCTGGGTGTCTCTCTCTCTCCGTGGGTTCATAATGGCTGTTGTGGGACACAATGAGCCACCACTGCTGAGATTCTGGGTTCAAGCCCTGGGTCTGGGTGTCTCTCTCTCTCCGTGGGTTCATAATGGCTGTTGTCGGATACAATCAGCCACCACTGCTGAGATTCTGGGTTCAAGCCCTGGGGGTCTGGGCCGTCTCTCCGTCGGAGGGTTCATAACGGCCGTCGACCCTCGGTCATTTAGCCCGCCGTGCGCGCACCGGTCACGCACCGATCTTCCTCACGCGAGCGCAGTGGGAGGCGGTGGGAGAAGCAGCGGAGGCAGGGAAGGCCGTTTCCTTGCCCTTCGCAATCGCCGACCTAAAACGAGAAGAGCAACCAGACTCTAGCCCAGTGGTTCTTAACCTGGGTTCGATCGAACCCCAGGGGTTCGGCGAGTCAGTCTCAGGGGTTCGGCGGAGGTCAAGACACACACCCGACTCATATGATTGTGCACCAGTAAAACATATACACCTATGTTTCGAATTTGAAAAAATCATAGTTTATTTTTCCACTTAAGAAGGGTTCGGTGAATGCGCGTATGAAACTGGTGGGGTTCAGTACCTCCAAAAAGGTTAAGAACCACTGCTCTAGCCGCACGCAGATACGGCGGCAAGGGGTAGGGTAACGGTCTAGGAGAGGGTTAAAAAACTCGACGCATTCAAGAACCGCGAAGTGCACGCGGCAAAGTACGAGCCGGCGGTCCTTTTCAAACATCGTCGCGAAACGGCGGTCCTTAAAGGACCGTGCACAGGCTCTGCAGCAGCCAGCTGCCCCGACCCCCGAGCTAGGGTTATGGCCGAGAGAAAAGGGTGCCGGGGTTGTGCGAGTGTTAGTGGCTAGGAGTAGAGGTGCGGGCAGAGGTAGGGGAAGATACAGGATTGAGGTGTTATATGTCACGATCACCCCTCTCTGTACCTGTGTTGCTCTCTCTGTGTATCTTGGTGATATCTGTCTGCTAATATGTCTGTCTATAGTTTTCTGGTTAGATTTTATGTCGCTATTTCATTATACCTGATGATGATTGCTTGTGTTGCAATCGAAACGTCGTATGCTATTATTTAATTTAATTTATTATTTTATCTTTAGACGTGACTTAACCGAAAGAACCGAATAATAATTCCTGCAGTCACGAAAGTTCTAAAATTAAGATTGGGCGCAAAGCAGTTTTCGTTTAAGGAGGGTTTGGAGGTCCGGGTAGGGTTAAGAGTTAGGGGGTTGGGTTTTATTGTTGTGGTAACGGTAGGGTTAGCGGTGAAAGTAGGGTTTGTGGTAAGGTGATTATTGGTGGTAGGGTTAGCGGTGCAGGTAGAGTTAGAGGCAGGGTTAGAGGTACGGTTAGAAGCTAGGGTGAGTAAAAAATTAACCCGTAAAAACAAAGTTTTTCACTATAAATCCTTTATATGCGTGGCATCGGGGCGGCTAGAGTCCTCTCATCCTCTGGCTTGAGATGGCTGCCACCTATGGGTCAGATGATTGTCTGCCACCATTAAGCAATTGGTAATTAAATATTTTTAAAAAAATTCCCCAAACAGTGTAAAATTTTGGAGAAAAAAAATTTCACGAAAATGAATTGTCACGCACAACGAGTCTGTGTGCAAAATGTCAGCTCCATTGGATCACGGGAAGTGGGTTAAAAAACGACCGAAAGATTTGCACGGTCCTAAGCAAGCAAGCAAGCACGCAAGCAAGTGAACTTAATATAAAGGATTTAAAAATATCTTGATTTAAAGCTTAGTAATAATAGTTATTGATATGGGTAGTTTTAGGGGTATGGTTTGAGGTATGGTTAACGGCAGAGGTAGGGTTAGAGTTAGGGGTAGAGGGAGGGTTAGAGGTTTGGTTAGGGGTAGGATTAGTGATAATAGTTATTGTTATGGGTAGGGTTAGAGGTCGGCTTCATGGTGAAGTTAGGGTTAGTGGTAAATGTATTGTGAAGGGTCGCGTTAGTGGTAGAGTCTCGATTTAAAGCTTTCGTGACTGCAGGGATTCATCTTCTTGGTTCTTTCGGTAAAGTCACGTAGAAGGGAAGTAATAAAATAATAAAAATAAAACATTATAAAATTTCGATTTAAAGCTTTCGTGACTGCAGGGATTCATCTTCTTGGTTCTTTCGGTAAAGTCATCACGTAGAAGGGAAATAATAAAATAATAAAAATAAAACATAATAAAATTTCGATTTAAAGCTTTCGTGACTGCAGGGATTCATCTTCTTGGTTCTTTCGGTAAAGTCACGCAAGCAGCCGTCCTCAGGTGAAGAGCAGGTCTGTTGGAAAGACAGTGTCTGAATGACGGTCTGTCGGAAAGACAGCGTCTGAATGACGCTGTCTTTCCGACAGGCCTGTTCTTCACCCGAGGACGGCTGCTTGCGTTGTGGCCGAAACGTCGTGAGAATTATTTTATTTTTATTATTTTATTATTTCCCTTCTACGTGATGACTTTACCGAAAGAACCAAGAAGAAAAAAGCGGTAGAGTCATCGTTCTTACGGGCGGGGTAGGGTTCGGGGTGGCAGTTAGAGGCTACACAACTCCACCACGTGTCACTTGTCGTGGGGTGAGGGTAGAGATGTAGCCACGGTGGCGGTGCGGACATGTGTAGAGGTGTATTGGTACGGATGGGAAACAAACACAAGGGGCATGGTTATGGCTGTACGCAGAGAAGGTGCTTACATCGACGTCCGCACCTGCCATCCCCCACGCCCCCCCCGGGGGGAGCGATTGCTATAAAAGGTGGTGAGCCGGAGGGCTCGGGGTCGAGTGTTAGCTTTAACCAGCGAAGATTGAAGACCAGCTAGAGTAGGCCCCGGAGCTCCCCTGGCTCGCTGTCCTTGTCAGGACCGACCGGGGAAAGCCGGTGGCGTGGCCCCGAGAGCCCAGACCGACGTTCTTATAAGAGCCGGTCTGGAGACTCAGGGTGCCGTAAATCCCAGCTTGACCAGGGCTGGGATAGATAGCCTCCCTTAGCTCTGTAGTGGAGGACCTGGGAGTAGGTTAGCCGGGTTAGACGTTGGGTCTCCCTGTTAGATGGGTGAAGGGGCCGATACCCCTTCGAGTGTTGTGTATCCCCGTCTCTGTAAATACGTTGGTGTTAATAAATAAGTGTGCCTCCAACTACGTCGTCCAAGCCTCCTGCAACTTACTACACATGCGCAGAGGAGTGCGGGCCACTCACCTGTACAAGCCCCCAGTGGCCATGGCAGCAGGAGGTAACGTGTTGATGCTCTGGTTAGGCCTAAACACCCTGCGTCGTCAGAAAGGAGTCGGGTGAGAAAAGTGGCATCGAGTTTACGTTTGGGCGATGGCAACGCAGTGGTTAACGCAGTTAGTCCGTACCTGTCAACCCGTACGGTTTACTCCGTATTCTCGTACACAGCGTAAAGACGTTTCGAAACAAGCAATGTTTTTGCGTCTATTCGTTTGTGTATCTGGAACTTTGTAGGATGAACGTTGAGATTTTCAAGGGCACGGGGTGATCAATAAGGTCTGAATTTCACCATTGGAACCTCCTTTGCCAGTCGCAAAATATGATAATAGGTTTTTTACCCTTTTATCTGGCAACAAAACTGACATCTTTTTTTACAAGGAGTCATGTTTGCATTGACCACAATACTTGCGGTCGGAATGCAAAAAAAACACACAACTCTGATAAGGTATGCACTGTCCTTGAAATGGATTGGTCCACACCCGAGAC